TAATTTCTTTGGAACAATTTGTTGAGGCGCATTTATATTTGAAAAGCCCCTTTCTATTCTTCATATAGAAAGAGTTTTGGAGTGGCGGAAGTATTTTACCCTACTAGAATCTCTCTGTTCTCCAGTCTCTAGAAAATCCCAGGAACAAACTCCATCAACTAAGAAACTCAGCAATTGCAAGAGGAACTGACAGAGTCCATGGCTGGAGAAAGAAAACTGTAAGTGCTAATTTCCTTTTAGTCTCCATTCCACGTGGTGATAGTTCCATCCAAACTTGAATTTCACACTGCTGTGCCTAGTAGAATGGGGCAGTGGTCCACGAGGAAACCTCTGAGGGACTGTGGTAATAAATGTATGACAAGTCCACTTATTGGACTTATTGGGAAAACTGCTTAAATTGTATAAAATCTTCTAGTCACCTATAATGAGGGAAATTTTTCCATCCAGCTACAAGTTTGTTTTAGCTACAGAAGTAGTGAGTTGAAAGTTCTTAGCTTTGTTAACTTCTGAAAGGTTTACCTGTGATTTTGGTAGCACCTAGTCAAATAAGAATGGTAAATCCTATAACTCTAGCATTGTAACTAAGATTCAGTAACGCTAGAATTTAAATTAAGATGTTCAGTAAACTAGAGTAGTTGTGGGATCAGAAATCAATGGATCTGAAACTGGTTAAGGTTAAAGTATGCATTCAGTAGCTGGAAATTCTGGCAAACTAACAATTGTTGTCCAAATGACTTTTAGCTTCTTTGTTTAGGCTAAGCATGCAAAGTAATTTGCTAACATTCCTATTTGAAAATCAGAGAGTTTTATAAATCTGTTGGATTGTTATCACTATCTCAATGTTCTGTTACTATCTTAAGTTCTTTTACAAATGGTGCGTTTCTCTTTTTGTGTAAGTTAAGGTTTGTAGTTTTTGTAACTGGGAATAACTTACTATAAAGGCATCTTTAAATAAAATGGAAAAGTGGTAAAATAAACTGTTCTTTAGCAGCCTAAACTTTAACAATAAATAAATAAAAAAACCCCTTCTGCTCACTCAATATCAGGAACAACTCTTTTAACTGAATGCTGGCTTAATTCACAGCTCCTATAGCACTGACTGTAAATTGTGTTTCCAGCCAGTGGAAAGGGTGATGGCAGCCCCCTAGTTGTTGAGATTAGAAAAATAACACAAAGTGTGGGTGGTTGTTTTTGTGTATGTAGTGGTTCGGATTAGCTATCTCTGTGATGGGCTGAATTGCTTCAGTGGTTGTGAGATGTTGGCGGACAAAGTCTGTCAGGGTGTGTCAACAAAAGTGGACTTTTGTCGACAAAACTATACCTGCGTCCACACTGCCTTTGAGTTATGTCGACATAACGTCGACAAAACTCAGCAGTTTTGTCGACGTATGTAAACCTCATTCTACGAGGAATAACGCCTTTTATCGACAGAGTTCTGTTGATAGAAGGCATTATTGCATCTACACTGTCCTTTGCGTCCACACTGTTATGTCGACAAAGCGGCTCACTTTGTCGACAGAACTGGATGTAGTCTAGACGCTCTTTGTCGACAGAAGCTTTGTCGACAGTATCTGTCGACAAAACCCTGTAGTCTAGACATATCCTCATAGACTGAAATGCCTGTGTCTTTTACAGCTTATGAGAGGAGCAAATGGCTCATGGATGCAACATTTCTAAAGAATGTGATCTGACTCCTTTTTAAAAGGAGGAAACGTATAGGGCTAAAAACTTGCAAAGGCTAAAATTCGGCAAATTACCAAATTTGACCACTCATGTCTGATATTTTCAGGGTTTAAGTAAAGGTGCAGCTTTAAATGAGGAGGAAGAGACAAAGAGACTTTTTTTGAGGCTGACTTGGTCCTGCCTCAGCCCCGGCGACTGGACTGGTTGACCTTTGGAAGCTTCTTACCATGATTACATTTCTACAATTCTGTGAAGCACAAGAAAGAAATGAACAACTCCTATGTTATATTTAAGTAATTTTAACTTTAGCATGTATCACTTTGTGATTCCAGTTGTGAATACAAAATCAGTCTAACCTCCCTACAGCTGGAGTATTAATTAGATTCAGCAAGTAATTTTGGATTTCAATGTCTTGGTTATTTATTGGAAGTATCCCTCTTAGTGTTGCTTCTGTCAAATTTAGCTTAATGTAAAACCGTTTCAGAGAAAGCCAGAGCCTGAGCTAAATTGCTGGGAAGGCAGCTAAAAGTTGTTTAAGAGTAAAAAGAGGAACTGCCACCTGATCTCTTAAAACTTATTCCAGGATCGGTATGTCAGTCCGGGCTGAAAAACCGCAATATTCTCAGTGTTACTTTCTTGCCAGTCTCTCAGGGTATGTCTACACTACCCTCCTAGTTCGAACTAGGAGGGTAATGTAGGCATACCGCACTTGCAAATGAAGCCCGGGATTTGAATTTCCCGGGCTTCATTTGCATAAACTGGGCGCCGCCATTTTTAAATCCCTGCTCGTTCGAACCCTTTCCGCGCGGCTACATGCGGCACGGACTAGATAGTTCGGGCTAGGCTTCCTAGTCCGAACTACCGTTACTCCAGGCTGGGGAGACCCTCCGAGCCAGCTGTGGGGCATCAGGGGCTGGGGGCTGGGGAGACCCTCCGAGCCAGCTGTGGGGCATCAGGGGCTGGGGGCTGGGGAGACCCTCCGAGCCAGCTGTGGGGCATCAGGGGCTGGGGGCTGGGGAGACCCTCCGAGCCAGCTGTGGGGCATCAGGGGCTGGGGGCTGGGGAGACCCTCCGAGCCAGCTGTGGGGCATCAGGGGCTGGGGGCTGGGGAGACCCTCCGAGCCAGCTGTGGGGCATCAGGGGCTGGGGGCTGGGGAGACCCTCCGAGCCAGCTGTGGGGCATCAGGGGCTGGGGGCTGGGGAGACCCTCCGAGCCAGCTGTGGGGCATCAGGGGCTGGGGGCTGGGGAGACCCTCCGAGCCAGCTGTGGGGCATCAGGGGCTGGGGGCTGGGGAGACCCTCCGAGCCAGCTGTGGGGCATCAGGGGCTGGGGGCTGGGGAGACCCTCCGAGCCAGCTGTGGGGCATCAGGGGCTGGGGGCTGGGGAGACCCTCCGAGCCAGCTGTGGGGCATCAGGGGCTGGGGGCTGGGGAGACCCTCCGAGCCAGCTGTGGGGCATCAGGGGCTGGGGGCTGGGGAGACCCTCCGAGCCAGCTGTGGGGCATCAGGGGCTGGGGGCTGGGGAGACCCTCCGAGCCAGCTGTGGGGCATCAGGGGCTGGGGGCTGGGGAGACCCTCCGAGCCAGCTGTGGGGCATCAGGGGCTGGGGGCTGGGGAGACCCTCCGAGCCAGCTGTGGGGCATCAGGGGCTGGGGGCTGGGGAGACCCTCCGAGCCAGCTGTGGGGCATCAGGGGCTGGGGGCTGGGGAGACCCTCCGAGCCAGCTGTGGGGCATCAGGGGCTGGGGGCTGGGGAGACCCTCCGAGCCAGCTGTGGGGCATCAGGGGCTGGGGGCTGGGGAGACCCTCCGAGCCAGCTGTGGGGCATCAGGGGCTGGGGGCTGGGGAGACCCTCCGAGCCAGCTGTGGGGCATCAGGGGCTGGGGGCTGGGGAGACCCTCCGAGCCAGCTGTGGGGCATCAGGGGCTGGGGGCTGGGGAGACCCTCCGAGCCAGCTGTGGGGCATCAGGGGCTGGGGGCTGGGGAGACCCTCCGAGCCAGCTGTGGGGCATCAGGGGCTGGGGGCTGGGGAGACCCTCCGAGCCAGCTGTGGGGCATCAGGGGCTGGGGGCTGGGGAGACCCTCCGAGCCAGCTGTGGGGCATCAGGGGCTGGGGGCTGGGGAGACCCTCCGAGCCAGCTGTGGGGCATCAGGGGCTGGGGGCTGGGGAGACCCTCCGAGCCAGCTGTGGGGCATCAGGGGCTGGGGGCTGGGGAGACCCTCCGAGCCAGCTGTGGGGCATCAGGGGCTGGGGGCTGGGGAGACCCTCCGAGCCAGCTGTGGGGCATCAGGGGCTGGGGGCTGGGGAGACCCTCCGAGCCAGCTGTGGGGCATCAGGGGCTGGGGGCTGGGGAGACCCTCCGAGCCAGCTGTGGGGCATCAGGGGCTGGGGGCTGGGGAGACCCTCCGAGCCAGCTGTGGGGCATCAGGGGCTGGGGGCTGGGGAGACCCTCCGAGCCAGCTGTGGGGCATCAGGGGCTGGGGGCTGGGGAGACCCTCCGAGCCAGCTGTGGGGCATCAGGGGCTGGGGGCTGGGGAGACCCTCCGAGCCAGCTGTGGGGCATCAGGGGCTGGGGGCTGGGGAGACCCTCCGAGCCAGCTGTGGGGCATCAGGGGCTGGGGGCTGGGGAGACCCTCCGAGCCAGCTGTGGGGCATCAGGGGCTGGGGGCTGGGGAGACCCTCCGAGCCAGCTGTGGGGCATCAGGGGCTGGGGGCTGGGGAGACCCTCCGAGCCAGCTGTGGGGCATCAGGGGCTGGGGGCTGGGGAGACCCTCCGAGCCAGCTGTGGGGCATCAGGGGCTGGGGGCTGGGGAGACCCTCCGAGCCAGCTGTGGGGCATCAGGGGCTGGGGGCTGGGGAGACCCTCCGAGCCAGCTGTGGGGCATCAGGGGCTGGGGGCTGGGGAGACCCTCCGAGCCAGCTGTGGGGCATCAGGGGCTGGGGGCTGGGGAGACCCTCCGAGCCAGCTGTGGGGCATCAGGGGCTGGGGGCTGGGGAGACCCTCCGAGCCAGCTGTGGGGCATCAGGGGCTGGGGGCTGGGGAGACCCTCCGAGCCAGCTGTGGGGCATCAGGGGCTGGGGGCTGGGGAGACCCTCCGAGCCAGCTGTGGGGCATCAGGGGCTGGGGGCTGGGGAGACCCTCCGAGCCAGCTGTGGGGCATCAGGGGCTGGGGGCTGGGGAGACCCTCCGAGCCAGCTGTGGGGCATCAGGGGCTGGGGGCTGGGGAGACCCTCCGAGCCAGCTGTGGGGCATCAGGGGCTGGGGGCTGGGGAGACCCTCCGAGCCAGCTGTGGGGCATCAGGGGCTGGGGGCTGGGGAGACCCTCCGAGCCAGCTGTGGGGCATCAGGGGCTGGGGGCTGGGGAGACCCTCCGAGCCAGCTGTGGGGCATCAGGGGCTGGGGGCTGGGGAGACCCTCCGAGCCAGCTGTGGGGCATCAGGAGCTGGGGGAGGAGCTAAATGACAGAAGCCCCCTCCCTAGCCCCAAGAGCTGTGGGGCAGTGTGGGCCGTGAGGGGATCAGAACCAAATGAGGGCTGGAGAGACACCCCCCCAGGCAGCCGTGGGGCGGCAGGAGACGTGGGTGGGTCTGTGCCCCTGGGGCGGGAGGAGAGCTGCCGTTTCCTTCCCCCGTAGCTGCCCAGGCCTCCCGCATGGAGCCGGGTGAAGAGCCGCAGGTCCCGGATCCTCGGGGAGGCGAGATCCCCGGAGGCGCCCGCGCAGGTGAGGGAAGAGCCACATGGGCTGGGAATGAGCCGAGGGTCCTGTGGGACTGGGAGCAAAGCCCTGTGCCATTCCCCCTCCCCGGCACAGCCCTGTCTGGCCTTCCTCTCCCAGCAGGTGCCAGGCCCGAGGCGGCGAATCCCCGACAGGAGGGGCCTGCAGGAACAGAGCCTCACGGGACGTCCCGGAGCCCTGCGTGGGGAGACGCTAATGGGGTGGCCCAGCAGCAGGGCGACCCAGCGGGGGAGACACGCCGAGGGGCAGGGGGCCCGGAGCTGCTTCCCAGCACCCTCGCGGGGCAGAAATCCAACCTCTGCCCCGAGTGCGGGAAGAGCTTCGGGAACCGCACACACCCGGCAGGACTCGCACCTGGCCCAGCACCGGCGCGCCCACACCGGCGAGCGGCCCTACCGGTGCACCACCTGCGGCAAGGCCTTCTCGCAGAGCTCCAAGCTCCTCATCCACCAGCGCACCCACACGGGCGAGCGCCCCTACACCTGCGGCGAGTGCGGGCGCAGCTTCGGGCACAGCTCGGACCTGGTCCAGCACCAGCGGGTGCACACAGGGGAGAAGCCCTTCCCCTGCCCGCAGTGCGGCAAATGCTTCGCCCAGCGCTCCACGGTGATCCAGCACCAGCCCCTCCACACGGGCGAGCGCCCCTTCGCCTGCCCGGACTGCGGCCAGGCCTTCGGGCAGCGCGCCGACCTGCGGCGGCACCGGCGCACCCACAGTGGCGAGAAGCCCTACGGCTGTGCCGAGTGCGGCAAGCGCTTCCTGGAGAGCTCCCACCTGCTGCGGCACCAGCGCATCCACGCGGGCGAGCGGCCCTACGGCTGGCCCC